ATCCAGCATTCAACTGCTTTGCCTCAATTGAAAAGTGGGACAGAAAGTCACAGATCCTCACCTATGTGTGTAAACACTCACAAATCCATGCCCATGCAGTCCCAGGCCCCTGGGCAGAAAACCAGGACATCCACATGCTGCACATACAGGTCTGGGGTCTACAGCTTCAGACAGTCAACATATACAATGCATCTTCAGATGCAGAGGATTCTGAACAAAATGTGAGCTGTCTTCTCTTCTGATCTATCCCAGCACTTCTGTTGCTCCTTGCTGGTGACCTCAATATGAAGCACTCTGTGTGGCAACCAGAAGTGTCTCCAAGCATGTGGATGGAACCATTCCTGCAATGAATCATGGATTTCAACTTTACTTTCACCATGGACTCAGACACCCCCACACATGGGCATAACATGATAGACCTGGTCTGGACCACTTCAGAATTAGTTATCAAAGAAGTGGACACACAGATGAACAGATTTCTTTACACTTCCTCTGATCATCAGACTCTTCTCATCAAAATCAGCCTTCCACAGAGCACAAGGCCTGACAGATCATCTCATTTTTTCTATCTTGACATCATGAATGAGAAGGTCTTTAACCAGACACTGGAGGTCTATAAGTCAAAACTAGACAAATTATGTGATATTCCAGAGTACCTCAATACAGATCAGCTGGATGTCCTGACTAAAGATATCACAGATGCACTAATAGCTTCCCTGGAAAGTTCTACCAAGAAGAGCATCAGACAAGACACAGATCAGCCATGGTGGAATGAAAACTGCCAGAAAGCAGTGACAACACTACATTGTGCACAGCATCTAGACTCTAGTTTTTTACAAGAAGCAAAAAGCAACATAGCCAGGATCATCAGAAAAGTCAAGAGAGAATACTGATGAGACAAGATAGCAGAGATCTCAGTGAGAAAAGATATCTTTAAGATGATCAAATGAACTCATTCAACTGACTCCTTTCATTTTCCCTCTCTTGTAGATGAAGAGACTGAGCAAACATGAACAATCTCTAGAGAGAAAAGAGATCTTCTGCAACAGATGCTCTTACAGAAGGCTGCAAGCAGAGAGGATATTTCAGTTAGCTGTTTCAACTCATCATGTGTCAAATTATCATTTTCTGTTGTCTCACCACATGAGATACAAAGTTCTCTGCTGAACACAGGTAATATCACTTCAGAAACTGATGGAGTGCCAACAGAGATGCTATGAAAGGCATGGCCACATATTAAGATATCAGTGAAAAGACTGTTCAGAGTCTGTCTTAGAGTTGACTGGCACTCAATCTTCTTTTAAGATACCACACTGATTGTGCTGTCTAAGGTCAACAGAGATTCAACACTTCTGCAATTCTACAGACTCATAGTCCTTCTCTCAATGTTGAGGAAGAGACTGAAATGTCTGATAGCTTATAGACTGGTCTGAACAGCTATACAAAAGAAGATTGTCCACTCTCAGCACTTTGAAGCTCTTTCTGAGCAGACTCTCTCAGACCTAGTGACAGCAATGATTCATGATATAGAGAAAGTCTGAGCTCATGGAAAAGTAGTCTCTCTTCTTACTCTGAACATCAAGAATGCTTTTGATGTTGTACTCAGAGGAAGAATGCTGTAGAGATTGCAAGAACAAGACTGATCATCAAATTTAATTAGATGAGTGAAAAGCTTCATGACAGAACACACAGATAGAATCAGATTAGATGAACTTCTGAGAGAGCTCTTTGATATCTCAGCAGGGCTTTCACAAGACTTACCAGTCTCATCTATTCTATTCATGCTGTTTATTCAGCCTCTGTTCTTTCTAGAAACTATACAAAGAAGATGTGCATGCTCAGACTACACAGATGATCTAGAACTGCTTAGTGCTGGAACCACTCTTGAAGAAAATGTTGTTACTCTTCAGAAGAATTTCAAGTTGCTAAATGATTGAGCCAGCAAAGAAGAGCTAACATTTGATTTTGTCAAAACTGAGATAGCACACTTCACACAGTGCAGAATTCTTTCAAACCTCTCAATTGATCTTGAAACAACATCTGACACTCACTATATTACAGCAAATGCAGTGAAAAGCTTCATAAGATATCTAGAAATCTGACTGAATAGAAAACTGAGCTTCAAGAAACACATGAAGACTATGACAGCTAAGGCATGACAGATGTCTAATGACATACAGGCACTAAGCAACACAGCAAGAGACATCTCAGTACAACTGCTTAGACAATTCATTCAGATCTGTGTGCTCTCTGTGCTCTGCTATGAAGCAGAGACCTGCTGGCCTGAAGTCACACAAATGAAGAAGAGAAAGAAAATCTTCAATCAAATGAATTGTCTAGTCAGAAAGCTAGATCTAGCTCTTAGAGATGCTTTGTGAGAGGCACTGTCAGTCTACAAGACCACATTCATATCAGCTCTACATCATGAGCTAGAAATCATGTCAATAAAAAAGACACTAGACAATCAGTGTGCTGTATTTGCAGTAAGAATCAAAAAGCTTGACAAAAGGCACTCACTAGTGAGGCACTCTAATAAAGTAGCTATCATCAAGCTTTATACCACACATTTGTCTAGAGCATTCAGTCATGCTGGTGGAATAGAAGCATATAACTCTCTACTCACACTCTTTTGAATGAGATTTTTCAGAAAAAAACATCTGCAGATTGAGTATAAGACAGACTGCACAAAGAAACAGACTGCACAAAGAAACAGACAGCACAAGACTTTAAGAGCTGGCTACAACAATGCAATTCTCTAAATCTGATGATCTTTACTGATGATTCACAGATAGAGCACTCTCAGTATGTGACTGATGCAGAATGAGCTATATGCTGAGATAATAAACACTGTCTAATCTTCACAGAAAATCTGTCAATGAATAAAGCAGAGATCTTTATGCAGAGACAATGACAGCTCTGCAGAGTCTAAAAAAAGTTATCATCTCATCTCAGATGAAGTTTGTCAGCAACATCTACATTTGTCTAGACAATTTGAAGATAGCATGAGCTTTTGAATTTATGTCAAACACCTTTAGCCAGCAGGTCTTCATGCAGTTTCTGAAAGTCATAAAGACCTAGCAGAGCAGGAATAGACTCTCATTAATCATCCAGAGCAGAGTGATCATTAGATGAGTTCCAGATCACACAGACATGACTGATAATGAAAAGACAGATCTTGAAGTCAAAGCAGCTGCAGTGCAGACAGCAAGTGCAAGTATGATATCTCAACTCAACAGCATAGACACTCTAGCTTATATAAAGCAGCACACTATGAAACAAATCACATGGATTTTTGAGAACTACTGGGTCAAAAATCAGCTCAAACACTATATGAAGCTGAAGATTTCATTAAAGAGAGTCTCAACAGAGGTAAAACTTTCATACTTCACATTAAAAAAGCTCTATGTCATCTGATCAGATCATGAAGACTTTGCAGCCTATCACAGCTATCTTAAGCATGAAGATGCAGAGTGCTACTGCTGATGTGAACATAGCAAAACCTCAGAACATTTCTACTATTGCACTCTTGCAAGAAAAGCAGCAAAGTGATGCTGATCTATCTACAATCTCTGTGAGACACTGACAATCTCATGTGAGGCTCTAGATTTCAATAACTGACTAAGAGAAACAGTCTTCTATCAGAATATCTGTCCAATGTGCTGTCACACATCTTCAGATCAGATCTCACAGTACATTCTCTTCTCTGTCTTGTCTCTGTCTTTCTCATCATCTTCTTTTTCTTTCTCTTTCTTCTCTTCTTTCTTTTCTTTCTTGTCTTTCTTTCTATTCACCTCCTCTACCTCCCTCTCACAAATCTAAAACCTCTCAAAACCTCTGCTCTATGGCAATCAACCCATGGGCTCTGCTGGTGCAGCAATACACAACCCTTTTGCCTCATTTGTAAGATAGCTACTAGATAGGTAGTCATCTACAGACATAGCTCTACCCACCCTATAGTTCAACGCGGACTCTACTAGATCACATGCCTATAAGGCATGTGGACTAACCGGGTGTTAAATAAACACACACACACACACACACACACACACACACACACACCACATAGAAGGTTCAACCATCCCACACCTGCGTGGATTGCAACCACGCTCATGGTCGTTTGGTCACGTGATGTGGATTAGGCCTAATCGGGCGCCGAGCTTAATCCGACGTCGAGTCTAACCGGGCACCGGGCCTCGGTCGGGCTCGGTCGGGCGCTGAGGCTAATAATATTCAAAGCAAGTCTAATTCATGCAGAATTTAATGAGCAACAGATCACTGAATTAGAGAACTTTCTCAATATCAGTAAATGCTACAGAGTTAAAACAATTCATCATCAGATTCAAGTAAAGAAAGTCCTCACTATTAAAGATGTCAATAGAAAAATCAAGCAGCATAAGAATAATGAAGCTGAAAAAGAGCAGAATTAAAAGTAATAAAGATTTAAAGTTGATTCTATGAAAATTGATAATAACTCATTCACATCACTGACAGAAGAGGAATTAAATCAATTTAGAGATGACACACATACTGAGAATGATGTAGATAATCTTTTTATTATAGATTAGCTACTGGTTGTTGATATAGAGTGCAATAATAAGGATGTGATTCAAGATTTTTATTGTTTTGGTGTTTTTATCATTTTGGTGTGGCACACCCACATGAGGTGTGGGTTGCGCAGCGGCACGATTAGTTTACTGTATCCAATCTGATTTATTCTTCACTTCCTGAAAATTTTACTGGTAACTAATACTAGTTACTAGTTATATTGATCTGAAGCCAGCCGAGTGCCGGAAATGAAACAGAGATAAATTGTGCAGATTTAGTAATTCTTCTTGGAACCTTGTGTTTTTTTTTTATTAAATCTTATGTTGTTTGCGAATGGCCCAGTAAGCCATTTATACATTCTTTCCCGATATTTACAATCAGCTCCATTTTTTCGAGTTCGATTCCCACCACTCTCAATTCCCGGCAGCACAGCCTTCATACATAGAACGGTTGCAATGTCAGGCGTTTCAACACCCAAAGGAAGGAAGCCAATGCCCTCAGCGCTAACCTTTGACCTGGAGGCTAAATGTTCCGTACGTAATTTCACATCCAACGTAAAGCAGACTCTACCTAATAATATTTATTTTTATTTCAAGACTACGAATGCGCGGGCAAGCACTCTCCACCTCCCTCACGGCCCTGTCCAGCTCCCTATATTCATGCCGGTCGCTACGCAGGCGTCACTTAAGGGATTAACGCCGGAACAACTTGCGCGGACAGAATGTAAGCTATGTCTGAATAACACGTATCATTTGGGTTTGAAACCTGGGCAGGCCGTGCTGGATAAAGTTGAGGGGGCACATGTCTTCCAGGGTTGGGATCGGAATATTTTGACAGACAGTGGAGGGTGGGTTAATGATATTTCTCTTGCCATTGGTAGTAATGCTGGCTATGTTCGGAAGGGTGCTGAATTCGGTGAGGGACTGAGCTTGGAGAACAGATCGAGGACCAGGGCTCCATAAATGATGCGGCGTCAAACCCTTACGGGATACAGGATGTCTTGGCTAACTTTTAAGGTTTTCCGGATTGATAGGTTTCAAATGGTTTCATTATTGAAGCTTGCGCAGGTTACAGAGGAAGGTGTACGGTTTTTAAGTCCGCATGATGGAACCCCAATGTGAGCTATTAACCTTTGTTTTATCGTTCTGTTCTCCACGATGATGATGATGACAACGACAGCGATGGCGAACGATGATCAATATCAAAAGTTTAGTGATATTTTCAAACTCACCACTCACCATAGGCTCCTTACCCCTGAACACTCAATTTCTCTACAAAACTCTATCGGCTCGGACATTATTATGCAGCTTGATGATGTTATAGCTACGACCTCTCCAGATCATGCAAGGATAAAAGAAGCAATGGATCGCTCTGTGCGATGGCTTGATCGTTGCATTGAGGCCCATAAGTATCCCGAAAAACAAAATCTATTCTGCATCATCCAAGGCGGCCTGGATTTGGAGCTGCGGAAAGAATGCTGCAAACAAATGGTTGAGAGAGACACTCCTGGGATTGCGATTGGTGGGCTATCTGGCGGCGAGGCGAAAGCCGAATTTTGCAAAGTGTGAGCATGCTCCTATCGATCTTATTTATGTTTGTGTTCGGACTTTTGCTAATTTCTACCCGGTAGAGTGCATACCTGCACTGCGCTATTACCTGAGAGGAAGCCGCGCTATGTCATGGGTGTAGTAAGTTATGTATCTTTTCCTAAACCAATAGAGGCAACAACATCAACTAACATTTTCTCAGGGATATCCGGAAGATCTTGTTGTGGCCGTAGCCCTGGGAGCAGATATGTTTGACTGTGTATGGCCTACAAGAACAGCGGTAAGTGTTTAACTGCACCATCCCAACTTTCTTTGGGGATGATACTTACATTCTTAAGCGTTTCGGGAATGCGGTTACATCCTTTGGCACATTGAACATCCGGAATGGATCATATGCAAATGACTTTAGACCTATCGAAGAGGGTTGTCAATGCATATGCTGCCGATCCAAAACACACGGAGGGCTTGAGATTACGCGAGCATACATTCATCATCTTGCTGCGAAAGAAACTGTTGGAGCTCATTTGTAAGGATTCCAGTGATCCAAAATTTATATTGAAATGAAACTATATAGCCTGCTAACCACAACAAAATTGCAGGCTTACCATGCACAATGTCCACTATATGCTTGCGATGATGAATTCCCTTAGGCAATCAATCGTTGAAGACAGGTTCCCCGCTTTTCTTCATGAGTTTTTCAAGAACATGTATGGAAGTTCATCCAATATACCTGAGTGGGCCGTTACAGCTCTGAGGGAAGTTGGTGTTGATTTTCTAGCTCCTTAAAACCCCCTTTTGGATTTATAAAAATTTGTAAAACCTTATTATGTGAAGTTACCCCTGAGATCTACGCAGGCATTTATGATGGCTCATTGGGGCGGCGTTTGGAAGAGTTTCCTGCTGATATATAGACTCTTGTGGATTCCAATATACAGACCTGTATTTTATTATATTTTATTTGCTTATTATTTATCTGGTGGAACATATAATTGTTAATATTTCAACCCCACCCCCCACGCCTGTAGATGTTCAGCTTTGATAGGGCTGGCATATTTTCGATGACATAATACAACCGTTCAATGGACAATGACATCGCTTGTTTTTCACAGCGCGTCCAGAGAAAACCTTTTCAACGCGACAAATTTCAATTGATCCATTGAATAAATCACGTTCTGCTTCACTTATGTTGTGGGCTTCACATAGCTGCGGGCAGATTCCTCAAGCACCTCCCAAACTGGCAACTGTAATATCATGTCTCCCTCCGAGGTGGTAATAGACGACGTCACTCCCTCAGAAACTCCAAAACCAGACGAGTCCTTAAATGCTCCAACTCCTGTTCCGCCCATGTCATCCCCGAGCCCCTTTCCACTTCATAACCCCTCCCACGAAGAGCATCAATATCTCAACTTAATCCGTTCAATCCTGGCAACAGGTGAGAACCGTTCTGATCGTACTGGGACAGGCACCCGCTCCCTTTTCGCGCCCCCACAACTCCGTTTCTCCCTCTCAAAACCCGGTTCTTCCTCCCCGTCATCTCGTACCCCAATCTTGCCCCTCCTGACCACCAAACGCGTCTTCCTCCGCGCAGTTCTTGGTGAACTTCTCTGGTTTATATCGGGCTGCACGTCCTCTCTTCCCCTTAGCAAAGCTGGAATCAAGATCTGGGATGGGAACGGAAGCCGTGAATATTTGGACTCCGTAGGCCTTTCACATCGTGCAGTGGGCGACCTAGGACCTGTGTACGGGTTCCAATGGCGGCATTTCGGCGCCGAATACATCGATGCGCAGACAGACTATATGGGTCAAGGTGTAGATCAGATTGCAGAGGTGGTACGAAAGCTAAGGGAGAACCCATATGATAGACGAATTATCCTGAGCGCATGGAATCCGGCGGATTTGAAGAAGATGGCGTTACCGCCTTGCCACATGTTTGCGCAGTTCTACGTCTCTTTCCCATCTCATGGAGGTAATACTGAAAGTGGACATGAGAAGGGAAAGGGAACTTTGTCATGTCAGCTTTACCAGAGATCATGCGATATGGGCCTTGGAGTGCCGTTTAATATTGCCTCGTATGCGCTGCTGACGCATATGCTGGCACATGCGGCTGATTTGTATCCCGGAACGTTGATACATACCATGGGCGATGCGCATGTCTATTTGGATCATATTGAGGCATTGCAGGAGCAGCTGAAGAGGGAGCCGGTGGATTTTCCTGAGCTGGTGATTAAAAGGGATGATCGAGGCAGTGGCGTTATGGATGGGTGGAAGGAAGAGGAGTTTGAGGTTGTGGGGTATAAACCCCATAAAGGAATTAAAATGAAGATGAGTGTTTAGGGGTAGTTTAAGGGCTTTTGTTTGTTGCAATTCTGCCGTTTAATAATATACACTTTTATCTTGCGTCGGATACACTTTCAGGATGTTGTTCGTCTGTCCAATGATGATACTGTGCTCAACCACCTTTCATAATAATAGTATTGGGTATATTCCATCGAATGCCCAATGCGAACGGGGTATATATAAACAAAGGTCGTAGTATATACTATTAAGACCAGGAAAACCCAATGCAGTCTAATTATCTCTTCCCTTGCTATAGCCATACAGTAGATGCGATATAATTCCCAAAAAAATTAGACGTCTTCTGCTATAACAAGATGGGGTTGTCGTCATAATCCAAACAATGGATGGAAATATCAAAAGAAGATGTACATCGAAACGAAAGCCCAAACTAAAGCCATCAAATGTATCACGGAAAGGATCCAGAAACAATAACATAAAATCAAAATGACTCAACCAGATCTTTCGAATATACTCTCATCGACCTACAAGATCAGGTGGGGGACCCACACCACGGAGCAATACTATCGTATCTCCCTGTGAAATACCACCCGCAAAGCCAATCTTCTCAGAAAAATCCAGGAGCTTCCCCCCTTCAACATGGAAGATACGCAACCTCTCCGCCTCGCCCTCAGCCCGATTATTCACATTCTGCACTTGCAACCTCCGCGCCGCATCGTCCAGAACTTTCCCCACACTCCAAGCGGAGTCGAAGTAGAAGTCGCCCGTCGGGAACTTGGCTGTTGTGGTATCCACGGACGCCTCAACGTGTAGATATAACCGCTTCTGAAGTGGCAAGTTGGGGTCACCCTTTGCCTTCTTCTTCAGATCTGCCAGCCTTGCCATGCGCGCAGCAGCGCTGTTTGGCTTCGGCTTCGGGGTTAAGTTTGCCACGACGTTCGAAGACTTCTCCTTCCCCCATGTCCGCAGACGGGAAAAAGCCACGCGTGCCTTGTCAGCCTGCGACGGGCCTTGTCCTGCAAGCCTTGCGCCTATCGGTATAAATTTCGAGCAGTCATGGTCCTCGCGCAGACGATGCTTGAGACAGTATTGGCGGTTGCACTCATTGCAGTGGACGCCGGTGCTCTGCAAAGTGTGGATGAGGGTTTTGCACGACGGGTGAGAGCATTGTGAGGAGTTGTAAACGGTGGGTTTAGTTGGGGGTAGGGACGAGATAAGGCTGCTGGTATTGCTGGCTCCGATGGAGTGTTTTCGTCGAGCAGCGGCCCATTCGCCGGCGTGTGTACATTTATGTGCAGTTTCCGTCCTGTGGTCGAGACAGAATGTTCCCTTGCAAGATTCACAGCGAAAAGGGAGGAAGTCAAGTTGATGGCAGTAGTCGAATTGGCAGTGTTTGCCGATGGATTCGAGATCGTGCTCGGGGTCCATCTGTGTGAATGATGACTCGTCTAGCTTTTGGGCCGGAGCGCCTGCAGAGAATGATATGGGGCCCATGGTGACTGAAGACATAGGGAAGGTTTGCCCTCTTTTAGGCGTAGTTAGAACGTTGAGTTACGCCGCGGTAAGAGTTGAGGAAGGTAAAAGTACATATAGGTGTAGAAGAGTTGACTTAAAAGGCTTGGCTCACCTCACCATGTGATCTGACCTCATCCTAGCCAGAACAGACCTCTCATAATATACTAGAAATCATTTATCAACTAATCGTGTAGCTGTGCAACCCACACCTTGTGTGGGTGCACCACCCCAAAATGATAAAAACATCAAAATGATAAAAATCTTGCAATTTCATCATCTTCATCATCTTCATCAATTAATAACTCACTACAATATCAAATAAGAATAAAATTATTGATGATCATATTCAAAAAGCTATTGCTTATCATCAAAAAAACTCAAATTTCAAAATACTGTCTCTGTCATGAGAATTTGAGGTTTCATATCAATGTTTCTGAGCATATATCAATGAAAGAAATCTGAATACTGCAAAGATTCCAGTTAACAAAAGATTAAATGAGAGTTAGAAGAATGCAATTAAATAATGAATCAAACTATTTAATGAAAAGAATTATTCTTTCACAGCTGAATATATTGAAGATTTTGCAAATTCAATGCTCAAATGTTAGCATATAAAGTCTACTACCTCTTCTTCAAAAGTTTGCAAGATGTGAACTTATAGATTCATTGAACATCTATTTGAGTATAAAAGAATAAAATAAAAGTCAATGAATTCAAATAGAGTGGCAATTGAAGATATTAAATATATCAATACATGATTTAAATATCTTCAGATTCTATTTGAGCAGTATCAATTTCACATCTATAACATATATAACTTCAATAAGATTGAATTTCAAGAGGGATAAAAATGTGAAGAATAAGTTATAACTGCTTTTAAAGAAGCTAATTCTATCATTTCTTCATTCTTTTTAAGAGATTTGATTACAGTCATTGAATATGTATTTATGAATAAACATGTCATTCTGTCATTAATAATCTTGACCTTCAAAACACATTTAAAGAATTGATATACACAGATAGATTTACTCAGCAATTATAAAATTACTATATCAGATACTAGATTTATAAATAATAAGACTGAATTTGAATGACTCAAACATTTCAATACTACTACAGAAAAAAGACAGAAGAGATATCATCAATTATTTTTAATAAATAATTATGAATCTCATATCACTGAGAAGTTTATATAATATATAGATCTTTATAAGATAATTCTATATGAATTTTCATCATATGTCACTTATTTATTACAATCTCTGAATAGTATATCATTTCAGCAATATAAGCATTATCATTCAAAAGCAGTCAACTATACCACATGTTGTGGTCTTGTTAAGTATGAAAAATAGTAGTTTCTACAAGATCTCTTAGCTGTATAAAAGTAGATCTTTAAATCTAATACAATAGCTGCAGAATGAGCTCAACATGATATATATTCATAAAATTCTAACTAAGTTCTTAATACTCTTAAGCAGTGAATCTCATCATCTTCTTCAATGCAGATTTATGAAGATGAGAATAATTTAGATCACATATCTATCACTTCTTCTCAGTTATTCTTATCAAAGATAATTCAAAAGTTAAAATATCATATTAATATTGCAGAAAATATCATACAAAGTATTAAAGATACTCTTGATTTAAAATCACTCATTTTATTAAATTGTTTGAACAAGATGTTCAAAATAAGTCTAATTTATATGAAACTTAATGAACAACAGATTACTGAATTAGAGAAGATTCTCAATATCAATAAATACTACAGAGCTAAAACAACTCATTATCAGATTCAAGTACAGAAAGTTTTTACTTTTAAAGATGCTAATAGAAAAATTAAACAGTATAAGAATAATAAAGCTGAAAATAAACAGAATAAGAAACAATAGAAACTTGAAGTTAATTTCATAAAAATTGCTAATAACTCACTTACATCATCAATAGAAGAGGAATTAAATCAATTTAAAGATGACATACATACTGAGAATAATGTAGATAATTTTTTAATTATAGATTATGTATTAATTGTTGATATAAAATATAATAACAAGAATGTAATTTAAGATTTTTATCATTTTAATGTTTTTATTATTTTCATATAGTGTATTTACATGAAGTATGAGTTGCACAATAGCATGATTTCTTTAGTTAGTTCTTTCATCAGTAAAACTTTTCTGTAAAATCTTTATCACTTAGTTAAGCTTATTTTTATATATTTTTATTGAAAAATTAAAAGAAGAAAAATATTAATAATATTTAAAAAATTAGAGAAAATAATAAAGAGAAAATAAATTTAATAAATTTATAAAATTTATTTTAAATAAATAATTAAATATATTTTCATATTTTTTATTTCTAAATTATCAATATTTAAAAATTATTTAATAATTATTTTAGTATAAAGTACTGCTGAAGAACTATAAGAAATTCTGTAATATTTTTTTAAAAACTATCTATAATTAATTATTATTTTTTTGAAAAGATGTAAAAAATAAAATTAAGTTTAAGAAAAAAGTTAATTCTAATAAATTTATTAATCACATATATCTATACAAATTGAATCTGAAGAAGCTAGAAGCAGTCAAACAGTATTTTGAAATTAATTTAGAGAAGATATTTATCTTATTTATCATTTTTTTCTTTATATTAAATCTTATCACTTATATAGTAAGTAAATTAAGATTTTATATAAATCATAAAAAGCTTAATGCAATTTTAAAAAAAAATTACTATTCAATTTTACCAATAAATGAGTTTATGAAATAATTAAATGAAATCAAATACTTTATAAAGTTTGATATCCAACAGAGTTTCTATTAAATTTATATATACTCTAAGACAGAAAATCTAATTATCTTTAAAATATATTATGAGATTTTTAAGTATAAGATCATATTTTTTACTTTAAATAATAAATTAATAATATTTTAGTACTTTATAAACATTATCTTATTTGATTGTTTGAATCAGTTCATAACTACTTTTATGAATAATCTACTTATCTATAGTAAAAGTCTTAAAGAGTATAAGAAACATGTTAAAAAGAAATTAATCAGATTATAAAAGAGAAAACTATAGATAAACATCTTAAAATATAAGTTTCTTATTCAATAGACAAAGTATTTGAGATTTATTATCATTGATCAAAAGATTAAACTTGACTCTGAGAAGATTGGAATAATATCATGATAAGCAGTGCTCAGTATAGTCAAGAAAGTTCAATTATTATTGAAATTCTGCAACTTCTATAGATGTTAGGCTTAGCGCCCGACCGAGCCCGACCGAGGCCCCCGGTTAAGACTGGACGTCGGATTAAGCTCGTCGCCCGATTAGGCCTAATCCACATCACGTGACCAAACGACTATGCTGGTCGCCCGATTAGGCCTAATCCTCATTACGTGATGCGGGTGGTTATAATCCACGCAGGCCCCATCAGTCGGGCTCGGTCGGGCGATGAGTCTAACAAGTTACAACTCGTTAAAATCAACTTAAAGCCTTCACTAAATCTGATAAAGCTCTAGTAGAGAAGGTGTTTTAATAAGATATGCAGATTTCTTTCATAATATTAATTTTTTTCTGATCTCTCTTCAAAAAATCAGAAAAATCTTGTTTAAATTAAACTTTTCCTTTAATAAAGAAAAATTATAAAGGGTTAAGCTCTAAGAACTAGAGGCTAGTCCTCCTATATAACAAGGATGAATTGCTTGAGAAAGGGAAGAAAAGAATGAGATGAGAACTTGAGCTTAAGCAAGCTCACATAGCATGATCACATATGCTCATGCAAACAATGACTAGGCTGAGTCAGTCAGTCAGAGTGAATTTAAAGATTCAATCTCTTATAATACCCTTCTTCTCTCTCTTTGTTGTGGGCCTTTACAACTATTTAAAGCTCTCTTTACATCTAATTTTGTCTGCTGAGAGGTCTCTCAAGTGTTCAAGACCTTCACTTCTTGTAGAAGACTCACATCATTCCATATAGACTCAGCTCAATCTACTCATTTAATAAGATGTTACTTTTTTCTTCAGTAGATTTGTTCACTCTGAATTTTCTCAATCTCAAACTCAGATTCTTCTGAGATCTCTATAATGAGTGGCTGTCAGTTAGTTTGTCTCTGACTAGACAGAGAATCTGTCATCACAGCATGTAGAAGCTTTACATTAAAGATATTGTGAATGCTGAGTGAGACATTCAGTTGATAAGTATGAGATTCTATCTTTTCTAGTACAGTATATTGATTGTATTTTGTATTCAGCTTCTTGTACAGATGATTAGTTCTCATGTTTTCTAAGCTCAATCAGATCTTATCTTCAGATTGAAAGCTTGAAGCTAAGTCTCTTTATTTATTTATATATTTTTTTTGAGATTGCTGAGCATTCATCATTTTTACTTAAGCTCACTTCAACACTTCATAGATCTTTCTTATATAATCATCTGCAAACTCAATGAAATTATATGATGTTTCAATAGAGAATGCATCAGCTATATCAATGAAAGAGATATGGAAAAGATGCATTAAAAAGAACAGACTCATATTCATTGAGAGAGCATCTCTATTATTAATAGCGAGCTCTGCTAGAGAGAGTCATTCACATCAGTTATTGTGTTGAAAGCTAATGTACTTGTGTGGATAGATTTTCAGAATCTGATTCATTTACTCTGTAGCTCCATCAGTCTCTGAGTGATAGACTGTGAAGAGTCATCTCTTAATGCTTAATTTCTCACACACTCAAGTTCAAAACATGCTTGTGAAAGCTGATTCGTGATTTGATACTATCATCTTAGAGATGCCATGTTGAGAAATAATGTTGTGAAGAAACACTCTAGTCACTGTCTCTACATCAGTTTTCTTAACTGCTTTTAATATAATTCTCTTGATCAGTCTGTTCATTATAATCATGATGTTCATGTATTCTTTAGAGCTCAGTAAGTTCATGATAAAGTCTATGAAAAGCTTCTGCCACATGTGTTTAAAAAT